CGCGAATAAATCATGTTCCCATTCACCGCATTGATTAACCAATTCCGCATATCTTCAGTGAACAGATATGGGTGTATCACATACACGTATTGTTATATTGCTTCATGTTCACCTTTACTGCATGGTTCATGCCCCTTATTCAGTTTGAGGTTGGTTTTCTTTTTCTGTCACCATTAGGATGATTATATCACCCGCTACATCTTTAAGTTTGTTCGTCACTGCCAAAATGTCATACTTTACAACACCAAATAGCAAATACACCAATTATCATATTACTGCTTTTTATTAACCATATAATCTTCCGATTTCAATTGTAGCTGAGAAGTTGAAGGGTTATTTAGAAGTCAGTGTAGCGCTATTATTAGATATATTGTTTTGTCACTCGATCTCATATTTACTTATCTCACCCTGAGATGTGTATTATTATTGTTTGATATACCTTTTTGGTATCATATTCTTATTCATATAAATATAGTTTGATATCAGACTATATTCACATTACTTCAAAAGTAGATTTTACACTCATTATTTTAGCATGTAAATATTAAATAACATTATTAATTTTACTCGCAGTCCACTAGCCAAGAAATAATCGCACCCCCTTGGACAAATGGTCATTTGTAATTGAACTAGATAGTCTTCACTCAGATGCCAACATCAGCTCCTTTAATTTTCATATTAACAGACAGATTCACAGTTTACGGTTCATACACATATATATTGTTACTTTGACCTTCGACCTTAACATTATTAAGATCACAAAAGAGGTATATGTTCCATGTTTATAGGCAATGGCGACCTTTTCATGATAGTTCAATTGTGAACACACATACATATCTATACCTTCGACTTTTCGTCTCTTGTCATGTCATGAGGGTTACATAAGGACTTGTGTTCCAAGTTTTCAGTTCCTTGCTATTCGCTCTTGTAGCTCAATACTGAACAAATACAAATAATGTGAATATGACCTTCTCGTGCAGCTGTTTTGAGCTTTAAAAAATGATGCCCACTTTTCTCAGAATAAATTAATTCTGTTCAAGAACCATGTACACCAAAGCACACCAGTAGTTACATACAAAGATGTTAGAAGGATAAAACATAATTTGAACCAAATCAATATACCTCGCATGCCTATTGTGATAATCCACCTTCAGTCCCTTTAGTATGATATATATTAACTATTTGAAGCTAAGTTCATGTTATGTCACTATAAAAATATATGCCTAATTAGTAAACTAAGCATATTTTTCTACTCTGTTTGTTGTTCTGGCGTGACTTCGAGAATATCTCATACTAATATATGGAGTATACGAACACTGATGACTTGTTGTCAACAGTGTTCCCTCGAGGATTGAATGCCAACACTAAGGTGAAATGATGTTGATGAGAGCGTTGTACTGAACTTAGCGTGTCAGACTAAGGGATACAAACAGTCGCCGATATCAGTTTTATTAAAAAATACATTTTTCCCTCTAGCATTTGTGGGGAATCATATTTATTTGGAATGCTCTGATTGAATGTAAGTTTAGCAAGGTGTGATGGAATTGGCCTGTTATGTTCGATTCAAATAAGCCGCTAATTTGACAGGGAAATGATACTTATAATGTTTTATTGTTGTTGTGACTCTTATCGATCAAGGCACTTTTTAAATCATGGGGTTTAACTCCCCTCAAGTTACGACCTGTGGTCTCCCATAAGATAATGGTTGCATTCAATATTAAAATAAGGATGGCGGACTATAGCTTATTTGTTCCGTTCTACTCTGGGTTACTGGAGCAAATAAAGATCCTAGAAGGTAAGTATTTATATGGCTGTGTGTTTTTATTTTTATCTGTGCAATGTCTTTGATTTGTCTAATATGGTTGTGGGTATTCCTTGCCTTGCCTATTGTCTGTATCAATGTTCTTGTGGGTTCGTGATATAAGGCGTTATAGCTGTTCAGGACACTGCAGCTGGTCTACAATACCTTATGCCTTTGTACCAAATCGTGGGGAGTCTATCACATTCAACAACAGGTGTCATCTTTACTAAGAAAATTGTACTTTCTTTATGTTAAAATTCACGAATGTTCATATTTGTGCTGTAAGAATTAGCTACTGAACTTTTAATATGAGGCAATGCTTTGGTTCGTCTCAGCAGTTAATACCAGAATATTGATATTACAATGAACATTGCTACCTTGTTAAAATTGGTTCAATCCACTTCGGTTCATTACGTAATTGGCCGTCCAATCTTGGACTTTAATTCTGCATGCAAGACAGGGTACTGACCCAGCGTGTTTTGAATGGAGGGCCATGTACTTTGGTTTCAATTCATATTGGTTCATTGCGTAATTGACCGTCCAATCTTGGACTTTAATTGTCCATGTAAACCCTGTGGTTATTTCAATAGGAAGGCCATGTAATTTGGTTTCAATTCCTTTGAGTCATTACGTAATTGACAGTCCAATCTTGGATTAAATTGTGCATGTACTTTTTCAAAGTGAGGTTCATGTAATTTTCAGACCCTGGCTACGTGTTAAAATTGGTTTCAAATCACTTTGGTTCACTTTGCTTAATTGACCGTCCAATCTTGCATTTTAATTGTGCATTCATGCAATCCAGGGTACATCTACATAAATTACTGTGGAGATTCAGTTCTATTAATATTAATAATGGCAATTTTTTTGTCACAGCACCCTCTAGGATTTGTGGGGAGTCATCTTTATTTTGAATGCTCTGATTGGATGGAGGTTTGAGCCTAGCAAGGTTGATAAAATTGACCTGTTATGTTCAGATTCGAATAAGCGGCATGAACCACTAATTTAACAGGAAAGTGATACTTATAATGCAGCAAGCTCGGTGTAGCAGGTTGCATAATAGTCAACTCTGTAAATATATACTGGCGGCACCCACTTGTAGTTGCAACTCGTTTGAATGGAATATCAATTGCATTGCGCCGAGGAAAACCTTATCAACTCGAACCATGAGAACAGTCTGTGCAACTGTCACATGTTCGGCATGCATCGCCGGTCAGTAGATATTTTTTGTGATCGGAGTCATGTCATCGAGTATTTCATACTATATCGAAATATTGTAAAAACACCAGGCAAGTCAACAGTTGTGGGTGAAATAGGGTTGCTTTGTGTAGAATAGTAAAACAGACAAAGTCAAAATAAGAGATCCATGAGGTCCCATTCTTTGCAACACGTCAGAGTACATAGAGTCAAAACCAGCACTACTCCCCCAGAGGATCGACAAGGGGTATTTTCGTAATGTGTAATCAATTGTTTTTATTTTTGTAATAATGTAATTTAAATAAATAAAAAACGTAAACTCGTAGACATGGGCAAGGTGTAAAATGTAATCAGCTATTTTATTTTTTTGTAAGCGTATAAAGCATTTTCCACAATTCGTACGCAATTTTGAAAAACACAAATTATCAAATATGTATAAAAATGTAAAATGTAATTAGGAATTTGCTTTATTTGCAAAGTGTAAAAGCCTATTTTTTACTGTAAATTGAACCTTCATTTTATTTCCTGTAAAAGCGTAAACTGTTTGTTTTTTTATTTACTGTAACCTGTAATAGC